TCCTTGTATAACAGTTACCACAGAGAAGGGGTGAAGCAGATTACTTCCTATCGCATTTGGAATTTGCTTCAATCCACCCAATGCTTTATTCTAAATGACGCATACTAATTCTAAAATCAGAAGACCACTAACACCAAATTACCGTCGGATAATTGCGAATTTAAATACATCTACAGTGAGTAGCACTTGAACCATCAAAAAAAAACTTAGCGCGCACGAACTTGACGTTTATGCCTAAAAGAAAAAAGGGGAAACTACTATTAAAAAGCAAATCTGTTCCATCAAGGTACATCAGGACCACATCTGTTGTTTCATTCACAGCATCACGTTGCTTCCAAACAATTATTTATATTTAATTTGCTGTTGAGTTTAAAGTATATTATGTGTCCAATTACTTTATGTCGTAGTTTCAATTGTTAGGGGATTAGTTGCTTCTACACAATTTTGTTAACCTCCAAATAGGCTTTTAAAACATTCACATTTGTAAACAAATCTCAGGTGAATGCAGGTCAGATTAATGATCACGAGCTGTATATTAGCATCGCATATCGACATCACCGCTTGCAGGCCCACACTGGATGCGATGGAGAAGGTCTCGTGGTGGCTGCAACTACACTCGCACATACCGACCACGTGACACACACAGCACCCACAGGCTGTATCTGCCGGCATGCAACGCGATGGAGGTTGCGATTCAGTACGTGAGTATCATGTTGTGTGTCATCGCATCACCACCCACCGATGGGTTGAGGAAACTGTTGTACTCCCGCACCAGAGGAGAATGAGTACTGCATGGGGGTCAGCTCCACACCCCTTCATGACCATCAGCTAGAACAGACGGAAGAAGGCAAACCATATAAAGGAGAGGCACAAGAGGGGAAGAAAAGATGAGGACAAATGACCAAAATGGTAGAGTTAGAATTCGACATTTACTTACTAACACTGTGTCCGTGGCTGCGTCTGAGGTGCTGACGAATGTGGAGACAGAAACAAGAGAAGAAGCAGAGATGGATGGCGGCTGTAAAAGCGAAGTTT